AAAAAAAAAAAAAAAAAAAAAAAAAAAAAAAAAAAAAAAAAAAAAAAAAAAAAAAAAAGAAGCGTCTGTTTGATTGACGAATTATTAATCAAGTTAATTCACGCGAAACTGCAGCGGAAGTTTTGGTACAACTCTCTCTCTCTCTTTGCAGGAACGCCGGGTTGTACGCGGAGGGTTGGCGTAATAAACTCGCTACCGAGATTAATATGAAAATGCATTAAAGAAAAGCCAGCTGTACGGAAAGTTCGCGGGGGTTTGCTTGCCCGAAATCTCGTTAAAAAGTTTTCATCTATACGCTCGGTACGTGTGCACCCGGTAAGTTTTGCCTTGTGTTAACGAGAGACAGTCGGTGTTCATATTTATACTTCCCCAATATAAATACTCGAAAAGTATACGGACTCAAACATTGGTACGCGGGTTGTATAATGAAGATGTTGCATTGAGAAACTCAATTTGGATTTCTCTATACGTATTTTTTTTTCTCCAAGTAAGTAAAACTTGTCGTGTTGCAATAAATTTAACATTATGCTATCCAAGCCAAATAATTTTAATAAGTTCTAATTTGTTGTACCGTAGTGGATTACGTACATTATAAAACACGAGTTTAAAACTACTTGTGTTAATCACCATTTAAAAACGAAAGAATTGTGTGTTGCAAAGATACACCAGATAAAGGAAAAAAAAAAAGAAAAAGGGTTTTACCTGCTGACGATCGTAGCTATGAGACAGCCAAAGACACTGACGAGGCCAATGCAGCTGAGGATGACGAGCCACATGGCCGAGGGTAAAAGCCCGAGGAGCCTGGCACCGCTGCCGCAGTTGGCCTCGTCGTGGCCCGACGGGCAGTGCACGTGGCCGTCGCACCAGAGACTCGCCGATATACAGGCCCCGAGCTCGGGACACTTGTGCGGACAGTCGCGCGTCAGACTGCCGTTTTCCGCTTCGAAGAGAAGTTGACTGCGCCGGGCTTGGCGGCTCTTGGAGATCTCGAGCCAGGACACGGCTGCTTGGCCCTGCTCGCGGGCTACAAAGTCGAGCAGCATCGCCGGGGAGCGCACTGGCCCGGGGAAGCTCTAAAAGGAAGAGGTGGAGTTTTTTTTTTTTATTTGCTTCTTGGGGTGCAATGTTTCTTAGAGAAAGTAGAAAAGTCCGTGTTTGGTCGGACATGTGTGAATGGCTTATTTTTCGCTTACAAAAATTATTATGACTCCCATTTAATTTTACATGAATTTTGCCTCTTCAAATAAGATGTTTTTTTAAGAAAGTAGAAAAGCTCTTGTTTGGTCAGACATGGGTAAATGTCTTATTTTTCGCTTACAAAAATTATTATGACTCCTATTTAATTTTACATGAATTTTGCCTCTTCAAATAAGATGTTTTTTTAAGAAAGTAGAAAAGCTCTTGTTTGGTCAGACATGGGTAAATGTCTTATTTTTCGCTTACAAAAATTATTATGACTCCTATTTAATTTTACATGAATTTTGCCTCTTCAAATAAGATGTTTTTTTAAGAAAGTAGAAAAGCTCTTGTTTGGTCAGACATGGGTAAATGTCTTATTTTTCGCTTACAAAAATTATTATGACTCCTATTTAATTTTACATGAATTTTGCCTCTTCAAATAAGATGTTTTTTTAAGAAAGTAGAAAAGCTCTTGTTTGGTCAGACATGGGTAAATGTCTTATTTTTCGCTTACAAAAATTATTATGACTCCTATTTAATTTTACATGAATTTTGCCTCTTCAAATAAGATGTTTTTTTAAGAAAGTAGAAAAGCTCTTGTTTGGTCAGACATGGGTAAATGTCTTATTTTTCGCTTACAAAAATTATTATGACTCCTATTTAATTTTACATGAATTTTGCCTCTTCAAATAAGATGTTTTTTTAAGAAAGTAGAAAAGCTCTTGTTTGGTCAGACATGGGTAAATGTCTTATTTTTCGCTTACAAAAATTATTATGACTCCTATTTAATTTTACATGAATTTTGCCTCTTCAAATAAGATGTTTTTTTAAGAAAGTAGAAAAGCTCTTGTTTGGTCAGACATGGGTAAATGTCTTATTTTTCGCTTACAAAAATTATTATGACTCCTATTTAATTTTACATGAATTTTGCCTCTTCAAATAAGATGTTTTTTTAAGAAAGTAGAAAAGCTCTTGTTTGGTCAGACATGGGTAAATGTCTTATTTTTCGCTTACAAAAATTATTATGACTCCTATTTAATTTTACATGAATTTTGCCTCTTCAAATAAGATGTTTTTTTAAGAAAGTAGAAAAGCTCTTGTTTGGTCAGACATGGGTAAATGTCTTATTTTTCGCTTACAAAAATTATTATGACTCCTATTTAATTTTACATGAATTTTGCCTCTTCAAATAAGATGTTTTTTTAAGAAAGTAGAAAAGCTCTTGTTTGGTCAGACATGGGTAAATGTCTTATTTTTCGCTTACAAAAATTATTATGACTCCTATTTAATTTTACATGAATTTTGCCTCTTCAAATAAGATGTTTTTTTAAGAAAGTAGAAAAGCTCTTGTTTGGTCAGACATGGGTAAATGTCTTATTTTTCGCTTACAAAAATTATTATGACTCCTATTTAATTTTACATGAATTTTGCCTCTTCAAATAAGATGTTTTTTTAAGAAAGTAGAAAAGCTCTTGTTTGGTCAGACATGGGTAAATGTCTTATTTTTCGCTTACAAAAATTATTATGACTCCTATTTAATTTTACATGAATTTTGCCTCTTCAAATAAGATGTTTTTTTAAGAAAGTAGAAAAGCTCTTGTTTGGTCAGACATGGGTAAATGTCTTATTTTTCGCTTACAAAAATTATTATGACTCCTATTTAATTTTACATGAATTTTGCCTCTTCAAATAAGATGTTTTTTTAAGAAAGTAGAAAAGCTCTTGTTTGGTCAGACATGGGTAAATGTCTTATTTTTCGCTTACAAAAATTATTATGACTCCTATTTAATTTTACATNTCCACTTGTTTATTTATTGACTTTTAATTATTAATTTATAGGTAGTTGCAACAAATATTATTTCTAAGTTTACTTCTGAGAAAGTAGGAAAATTTGTATATTTAGAAGTGTTATGTTTACCTACAGTCTCTTTATATGCAGTAAAAATATTCATATTTGGTAGAACATTATGTATTTACGTGTATATTGCGTGATAACTTTAATTCTTGGAGCAACATTGACATATATTTTTTAAATATATTTTAATGTTTTAATATTATTTACAACTAATTCAAAGTTAGTTTTCAAGTCTGGTATATCCTATTGTAGACAAAGTAGAAAAGTCAGTGTATGGTCAGCCATGGTGTTTTTGCTAGAGCAGTAGAAATGTTCATGTTTGATCAGACGCATTTTATTTTTTATTTTGTTATCTAAATTTTCCAAGTTATTTTCTAAACTGACATTATAACAAATACAACATAATTAAATCGAGAATCCCCAAGCTTAATCACGCACCGTCGAACACAATCCGGCATAAATTAAAGTCGTTCAATCACGTACGCGTCACGAATATTTAATTTTCACAGCAACTCCGAGAGAGAGAGAGAGAGGGGAAAAAAAGTATACAGAGAGATTGTCGACAGTACTTTTCAATTTGCGTCCACCACCGCGAATCATGATTATTTTCCGCCGTCCTCCCCCGATAGCCGCCAGGGTAAATTGCATCCTGTCACCGCGAAGCCTCGGGCTATTATCGCCGTCTCTAATACGGTCCCACCCTGCGCGTACATACAACTTTAATCGAAAATTCATTAGAGGAGACAAAAAAAAAGAGAGACACCCGCGAGCAATCAAAAATCCATTAAACGCCCCCTCAGCGCGTCAAAGTCAACCGACTCGACGACCAATAAAAATATCATCCCTCCGAGATAATCTCGCGATCGACCGCCCAGCTATACCGTATATACACGTGTAGAAACCGCTCTCGTGCCTGTGCAAATGGCTGGAAGCTAAAAACGGAATCTTTTGCTGCCTCGTACTTTTTTTTCCACTCCTTTTTACTAGGCGACCAGCTGCGCTAGGTAACGCAGGATGAGCCTTTGTTCGTGCACTGTAGAGGTCCTGCGGCTGCAAGAGCGCCTAGTGCGATGTATACCTACTTATTTGCTCTCTGAAACTTGTTTCGAGTTTAACGCTGAACTTTTTTTTCTCTGGTCTGCGTGGAGTAGTTTGCGTTTAACTATTTTGTTCGAGGGTTGTTTTTACGAATCGTATAACGTGATGTTTTTAAAAATTACGCATCTCGATGTGAATGGACTCGTGTTTGGAGGAATGAAATCAAGGATTTGATTTGTGAAAAACATCCTTATTCTGTTTATTTTTTTTATTTTTACTTTCATCGAACATTTCAGGCGTTCAACAGAAATATAAAAAATAACCAGATGGTTGTTTATCAAGCCTCATTGTTTTTTTTTTTTTTAAAGCTGCTTTAGTTGCTTAATGGATGTTATTACGTCTCAAAAAAACATAATTTTATTACGTTTAAAATAATTCATCAACATATTAGCTGTTATTAAAAAAATTCCCCTACGTCATAGAAATATACTTTGTTTTTGCTAGATTAAAATTTTTCAAAGCTTATTTTGCTGTACATCGTATATTGCCAACCTTGTTTTTCAGAACATTCATGGTGTACAAAGTTAATTTTATTTGCTGTAATATTCAATTTTTTTTGGGCGCAAACAAGTAAATTGGAAGAAAAAAAAAAAAAAAAAGCTTAAAGTCATTAACATTGTTTGAGTTAATATTTTAACGATTAACAAAACGGTGTTTAATACATGAAGAACGTTGTATGAAATAATTAACTAATTGTCAATCATTGTGAAACAATTAAACCAATGATAACAAATAAAGGCTAGTATTTTAAATTACACGAGACTCCTACGTTTTCATACCAATCCCTTCCTCTATTCTCTGACACTCTTTTATCAATAATTCACAACAGCCCTTCTGTTCATCCCTCAAACTACGTATCTAAAAAGAAAAAAAAAAATACAAACACTCACGGTGCCGGTGTCCTCTCCCAGCCATTCCTCCGAGAAAACGTGGACAGTGTACTCCCTGACCTCGGGCTCGGAGGGGCAGATGACTTTTCGGAGCCTCAGGGGCCAGCCCGAGTAGAGGAGCAATCGATTTTTCGTCGGGCACTTGGCGGGCTCGCCGGCGTCGGCCGCGGCATTCGGGTCCAGCGGCAGCAGCCAGCCCCAGGTCAGGAGGAAGAGCGAGCGGTTGTCGCGAGCCTCGACCAGCCACGGCAGCCCGTCGCAGTAGATGTCGGGCCGAGAGAACGGCGGTGAGACAAAGCGAAGCTCGCCACCTGTGTTTTTAATTTTGTTTTTTTTTTTTTTTTTTTTTTTTCAACGAGAGGAAACGACGAGTGGATTAAAACGTGATTGGAACTGATTGACGCGTTCGGTGGGAGCGCAATCGCTTGCATGTCATGCTTGCGGAGGGGAGAGTTCGTGTTTGATTGCAGGGTGGCAACGAATGGTGATCATCATTGTTGTTGTTATGGTTATTATGTCATTATTTGATGAAGCACGAGAGATTTTTTGATTGTACGAAATGAGGTTATGTGCGCGAGATGAATCGAAAAATGGTATTTATTTCTAAATGAATTTTCATCGCGATCTTTAACTTGTCTAACGTTTCAATTGAATGAATTTGTTAATAAATGGTTTTAAACTCGATTAGTTCTAGATCAGCTTGTTAGGCTGCACTGGATTAAAAAAAAGATTGAAAAAAAAAAAAAATGTATTCATTTTTACCTTAGTGATTAACCATTGTTATCGAATATCATTTTGTATCTTTACGGCATATTTTAAACGTAGGGAGAGTAGTAGTGGATAGTGGTTAACATAACCTAAAAATCAAACATTTTTTAAAATCGAAATAAAAATATTGATCCAGTGCACTTAATTGTGAACGATGGTTACTGAAACAATAATATTTTTACCAAGATGATAAATAAACTTTTTTATTTAGTTTACAGGATTCTACTAACGGGGTCAAAAACTACCTTGGGTCTTATAAACGTGGCCTTGTGACACAATAATAATAAAAAAAAGACCGATTCATCAAAAATGATCGTAGAAAACTAAAAACAACCCTATGGCTTACCTTCTCCTCTAACGCGCTGCTTCCTCGAGCACTCGGGCGCCCTGACGAGCTCAAAGGTGGCGTTAAAGTATAGGCTCTCAAAGTCCTCGTCGGGCGTCATAGCGTCAACGTAAAACGTGATCTCCAACGCCCTACCGGAAGTCACGTGCACCATCGGCAGCAGGGCCGAGGTGTTATCGCACAGACAAGTCCTGGGAAGCCTGACGTCCTTCCAGGGTGCCTCGTAGATGCTCAACCGAGCTTCCCTGCTGCCTGGCTCGGGTACGCAGCGAGGCCTCGCGCTGTGTGGGTCAGGCTCGTTGTTGCAGGCCGTCAATTCTCCAAGGCTTACGTTGTGTACCGTCAGTTTGACGCGCTCGCCGGCTGCTGCCTCGATCCGGTAGCGGCAGTCCAGGCGCCGGGCCCCTCCTCGACCGAAGAACCGCAGGTCACGCGGGGAGCTCACTACGCCGGCTTTCATACGCCGGTAGAGCCGGGAACAGGTTAGGTTGGGCTCTCCCCATTGCTCCCCACCTTGCACAGTTGAAATGAACTCGTAACGCGCCTGTAAGCAATGGATTAGTGGAATTGTAGGCAAGTGATGGGTCTGATTTTGAGGTTATGTCGGAGATGGACCGTTGTCATTTCCTTTGTCAAAGCGAAAACAAAGAATGACCATTATTTTTCTTGTCAACTACACTTAACGTGCATTTCAAAGTATAAAATTAAAATTTCGAAAAATAAAACCGGATCTTTTCCTACTTGTTTTTGAGTTACGAAATTGATTATATGCACGTTATTTTCTATGGTTTTCTTTCCTTGTTTTTTCATCAATCGTACGATACTTTTTTTACAATCAACGAGAAACATAAAGCCGCTGTACCTGATTGAACAACAACCAATTACGTGTACCCTTTTTTGCAGCCTCGCATTGCATCGTTTCAATTTATTCTGCTTACGCAACGCCAATCACGCTTGTATTTCAGGAAAATTATTGAGAATCACGTTAAAATTTTTAATTTAAAAGCCAACGAGCGAAAAACGTCCATCAAAGAAACGGTAGACTGAAAATAAAAATATTTCAATTATACCTTTCAAACTTTGTTTGCAATCACGAGCTGTGTGTATGCAATTTTAATCAACCCTGTACCGATCGATCGATGGCAACGTAATTTACATACTCAATTCATAAACCATTTTTTTTAACAAAAAAACTTCCTCGAGTAAAAAATGTTTTTTTTTTCCCACCACACACAGATATGTAACACATATCATAGGGTCTCTCATCCATACTGCACATATATACCTACTCTTCGATCGTCATCTTTCCGCTTTGCAAACATGGTGTAACCCCAGCTAAAAGACGAGGAAGAAGCCGAAAACTCTCTTTACGTATATGTATGCACTCTTGCAAGCACTTTGATTTATTTCACGCTCCAGCGTCGCGGCTCCTCTCATACATCCATAAAAACGTGAGCCTCGCGCGTCCGGTTGGCGCACTTTTCCCAAAGATATCGATACCCCCACGGCAGCAGTCGCTATCGGTCCAGCGCTGGCCTCGTTTCTACCATCCCTTTTTTTATTCCCTATTCGCCAGCAGGGCTTTCATTTCACCGGAGCTCGAAGCGGCTCTTTTTTTTGCGCCCCCCCCCCCCCTTTGGCACAGCACGACTCCTTTCCCGTGAATTGGTACACACGCTCCTGCATACGTATACTACGTTCGACGCGTTATCTTTGTGATCGTCACTTTTTTACCCCCCATTCGGTCGTCCGTTCGCTCGTTAGGTCATTGCAAGGGTCGATGATTTTTAATCCCATACGCTTTCCCGATGGTTTTTTCTTTCTGTCGCTCGACCTGCTTTTTGCTCTTTTGCGTATTTGCTGCGTTTTTTAAGGCAAGTGTTGGAAATTTTTTTTGAAATTGCTATAAAAATATTGTTTTCATTGTCATCTAACAAAGACTCGTACACGGAAAATTGTTGTTTTTTTTTTTTTTTCAATAATAATTTTGTGGAAAATTTTAGAGTAATTATATTTTTGAAAAACCTAGGTTATTAACGAATCCTTTCTTTATAGACGCGTATACATTACCAACGCTGAAAAAAGTGATGCCCTTCTGATGAATCTCAGATATGTCATGCCAATAATATGTCAGGCGTAACGTTATACCTAGAAATATTTTATAGGTAGTTAATTAATGTCTCTCCGCCTCCGTTTCACTTATTTCGGTTTACCATCTTTATGGTATTTACATGAAAAAATCGTACCTTCTGAGCATATAAAATGCTTATTTTCGTTACTGAAAAATTTAATAAATATCAAATAACATTCACGTACAATTTTCTTAAAGCTAAGTGCTAAAAATCACTATTTAGCTTCCACGTTTATGTTTTCAGAGTATCATACGAATCATACAACCAACATGACACTCTCTAGAGTGCTATAAACGCCAAAATTTAAAAGTTTGTTATTAATATCAATATTTTGTGGTAAGTTGCACTTGCACATGGCATGTTATTGTTATGACATGTCAGCTGATATTTAATCATCAGAAGGAAAAATAATAGATCTAGAGTTTTGAGGTTATATCGATGTTTTTATGAAAGGTAATATATTCCAACAACTAATAATTACCTCAATCAATTAATAGACCAAGAAAAATAAGCCAACATCTAAATTATCTGTTCCCGTTATATTTGTACGCGTTTGTGTCGTGCAAAACCTCCCAAAAACCTCCAGTATTCACAACTTTCGCATTTATAAGCGCATAAAATAGATGAAAGTGTTTATTTCTCCTTTTTTTCCCACTCGCGTAGCCAAAAGAAAAAAAAAGGGTCTGTATATCTCGAGAGCGTATTTCCAATCGAGCTATCCGCATCGCTTTTCCTTCCACTCGGGCATCCCGCCAGCCGACTCCTTGTACATCTCCTCCTCCGCTATAAGACCTTAATAATCGCCGAAAATCGATCCTCGATCGTTGAACCCTCGCTCCTGTACGTACGTATGTATATGTGTGTACATCGATCGATGTTCCATTGTAAAGTTTTCGCGGTGGCGGCCTCACCGCGTACCTATACAATATACCGTCACCCCTTCTGGTATAAACCGCTGCACCTCCAACGTTCCGCCTATTTGGTATTAAAATTTTGCGGAAAGCCACTGCCCTGTACGTCTATTTTTTTTTTTTAAGTCCATCGCCTCTTTTTTCCCAACTTTTTATCGTCAATTAAGAGATGTACATTCGATGGGATTGCAGTGCCATTTTTACGTGAGACAACTGTTTCCCATTAGATCGCGTGACTATTCAATTCGAGGTATTTTTTTTTTTTTAATTAATATTGCTCTCAAGCTCGATCGCTCTTTTTTCGCGAGGGTCAAGTTGAAACGTTTGGCGCTTTTAGTCGGATTTATTCGTATACAGCGAGGTTTCGTCAATTTTTATTCGCCTCGTCGGTCAAAAGCCACTCGAATGTTTGAAAGCCATTCTGGATTGGATCGTTCGAGCGCGACAGTAGCACCGATATTCCAACGAACACTTTTTTTCCACCAATGAATACATACGCGGCTGATGGTGTATAAAGATTTTCAATATAATTTCACGCAGCTTCGATGGCCGCTCTGTCAACTTTTTTGCATTTATTTAAAGAGAAATTTAATAGAGTTTAAACTTTTTTTGTCTTTGTTTTCAAATGTTACAAAACGACCATAACCTAAAAATGCAAAAACAAGCAAAAAAAACTTACGTTAAAACTGACGGTGTTGAGAGCAGTGCCCATAACAGTCTCCATGCGCACGGTAAGACTAGGCGCTTGGGTCAAGTAGCTCTCGTCTAGTCCGCAGGGCCTGGTAGTACGGGTCGAGTTTCTCAGTGCCGCGTGGGCGCAGAGTTTGGGCGACTCGTCGCACAGAACAGCCAGAGGTTGGCCGGTGGCCGGGGCACCGTCCCAGAGAGTCAATTTGACGGTACAAGGCGCTGATTCAGGTGGCTGATGCTGCGAGTCCATCTGGTGTTGGGACAACGGCAGGGCCGAGTAGTTGCTCGTACTCGTGCTTGGCTCACTTGTGCCACCTCGAAGGTCACGCTGATTTTTTTTTTTTTTTTTCATGGTTATAAGCACTCGTAAATTGGTCAATATTTCATAAGGTGAGAGGTAATGTTGCGCCGACCTGCCAGTAGGAAGCAAAGTACAGCCAGATGCGGTCGCCGGCGGCGCCTTTGATGTTCCAGGTACAGTTGGTGCCGGGTGGCAGGGCGTGCAGTGGCGCCCTCATTGGACCACTACGCCTCGCGGTGCCGTTTATTATGAAGAAACACCCGGTCGGGGTCTGCGCGTAATCCAAACCGTCCGAGTCCACGTACACGACCTGCAAGATTGGGAGCGAAGAACTCGGTTAGAGCGGGATTGGGGGGAAAAAAAAATATAAGCCGGTTACGGCAAAAAGACAGAAGAAAATAGGGGATTCCCCGAGGCTTATAAGAAATGGGAACCTCGCGGACTTTTGTTATTTGGGTAACTGGAGCGCGAGCAAAAATGAAAATAAGGCCACAGCAGAGGCGCAGCCTTGGAGGGAAAAGCTTGGGGAGCGATACTCTAAAGCTCCTTTCTTACTCCACCCCCTCATGGAAGAGAGAGAGAGAGAGAGAGTAAAAGAAAAAGTACAAGTAGTCCGCGTAAGACTCTCTCGCAGCTGCAAAATGTATGCTGATCCCAGTCAAAGTAGTAAGTATAAGTAAACGTGCGATCAGAGCTGCACGCTGCTCTTTACATGTATTATTCAGCGCGTTTAATTTATCAAAGATGCGCAGCCTTCCCTACAAAGATCGGATTATAACTTGCAGCTCTGCTTCGCTTACGATGGAACCCTTCGAAACTCCCTCGTACGCCGTATAAATTATCCAACGGGGTATATTTGAAGAAAAGAAAGAAAAAAAAAAGTAACTATAAACCTCTCTTCTCACCTGTGTTTCAAGCTCGAGCCTGAGCGCGGAAGCCCCAAGGGCGACGGCCTGGGCCGAGCTGCGAAACTCGAGCAGCATAGCTGGCCCCCTGGCGGTGATCCTCGGAAGCAGTCCACCACAGTAGATGAGCAAAACCGGATCCTCGGGTCTCGAGCCGTCCCTGATGATGAGTCGGTCTTTGTGTTCCGGGCACTCTTGCCACACGGTCAGTTGACCCTGGGCGGTGTGGTTGCTCAACAGGAGTCCAGAGGCAGCCGAGCTCGAGGACTTGACGGACATCATGGCATGCTTGCAGGTGGGCACCTCCTTTTGCCTGAGGGTGACGAGGCAGCTGGCGTTTCGCGGGTACTCGCCCGGGTAATTTGGACTCTGGACCCGGCAGGTCCTCTGGTAGCACTCGTAGAAGTTGCGCGAGCAGTAGGTCCCCGGCACGGGTGAGCCGCGCTCGATCGGAGACTCGAGGCTGCCCAGGCGGGCTATGGCCTCGGGTCGCGACACGAATCTGTAGCGCAGGCGAAACTCGAAGGGGACGGACGGGGGTGCCGAGAAGAGCCTTATGGACGCTGTGACGGTGCTCGTCTCGCTATAGTACGTGGCCCGGCCCTCTCCAGGTCCGCACCACGAGCCGCCTGTGAACGGCCGCCCCAGTTCAGCCAGCTGCATTGAGCCTGAAAGGAGTACAACGTGTTTTTTTTTTTTTTTTTTTTCGCATTGACATTTTTTAAGGGCTTCATAAACATTTTCAATGAGACCTCGCATCGCGTGTCAATTTATCACGTGATAAATGTCGTAACGAAAAATTAAAAAAAATATTAGTGCACTGGTGGAGGATTTGCACGTAATCGGTGGATATAAAGGATACAGTCAAACTGCTCTGTGAAAGTTCCAGTATTTGAAGACTTTTTTTCGACAAGTCTATTTCCTCGGGTTTCAAAGAATTTCTTTATTATATAATAATAAAAAAAATGGTTTTCCCAATAGTAAATTTATGTTTTTCCGTATCGATTGAAAAAACAATGTACTTTTTAAATCTTATATGTATTTATACATTAATATTAAAGTACAACAATGACCTAGTAAACAAACAGCATACTCTGGTATTTTGGTACTGACCCGTTACTCGAATAGCACATGGTATAACTAGAATAAAAGTGAGGTTAAGTTGGCTACATTTTACTGATTTTTATATTTATTGACTTTTAAATTGAAAAACTTTTTTCGTATACCACTTGTCGGGTCTATTCAAAACTGTAACGGCTAGTTTGACACACTATTACTAATAATTATTTGTGATTTGAATCATATTTAATGTAATCAAGTACTGGGTATACATAACCTAATGGTACACAAATCTCAAAAGTCGCTCATACAAGCCATTTTGTATAGCTCGCTCGAATGAATAATTTTTTCTTGTTACAATTATCTCAAGCAACGGCTAATAGATAAAAAAAAAAAAATGTTTTTTACTTAATTAAAGGTACTAGTATAATTGTATAAGGTATGCAGCTAATAGTACTTCAGCTACCAAATCATATTAAATGATTTCATCATGCAATCGAACCAAAAATGATACATTTTATGATTCTATGCAAGTTTCAACTAATCAAACCGTAAAAAAAAGAAAATAATATTTTCTTTCACAAGTACATACATGTTGAAATGAAACCCCGCTATGAAAATTGCCTCGAAATCAACCCTCGTACTTATTAATTCACATCTCACGCGTACATAGTGCATATACGGTACGCTCGTCACCACCGAGTGGAAACAAAAAACACCCTCGCCCCGCACGGTAAAAAAGCGAGGGAGGAAGAAAAAAAGCATGTACAGTGTATCCGAGGTCAACCGCGAAAAAAAACGGTGGGTGGGAATAAAAACAAACGCAAAAAAAAAAAAAAAAAAAAACCCCAGAGTGCACTGCATACAGCTTCGCTGGCCCAGATCGCAACGGGAGCGCGGAAAAAACGCGAAGCGTAGAAAAGAAAAGAAGGGATGTATAAAGAGGGAACTAAAAGAAAAGATGGGCGTGTGTGCCATAATATAACTATTATACCCTCGGGACAGCTGGCTGTGACGTCCTCCGCCTCGGCGTCGAGTCGACCGATACTAAAGGCATCCCACAGCAGCTGGACGAGTTCCCCATGACCGTGGCCGCCGGCGGTGAAGGTCAAGTGGCAGAGGAAGGGCAGCTTACCCTCGGCCGGCCTCGGCAGATCTAGCCTGAAACATGTATTCTTTGTTTTTTTTTTTTTTTTTCGTTTTTTTTCGACCCTCCATCCCTTTTTACCCGAGGCGTTTGTACTTCGTCGCGTGTGCACACTCCCGTGTTTTTCTTCTTTCGAACGCATCGAAAGCCTATAAGCCCCCCCGGTCCATTGTTTGGTCACTGGGCCATTAGGGTGTGGCTACTTTACTTGGTGTTTATATTATATGCACATGTAAGTATATGTACAAGAGTCAAGGACACACGCATGGTTAACGCAACTGAGGCTCTCGACTTTTTGGCTCATGTTGTCGTAGATGCTCTAGTTTTTCAAAATCAACATGCCGCGAGTTTGTGTGGTTTGCCTTTTTTTTCGGAGAAGCTCAGTCGTTAGTCTGGTCGGTTCTTCAAAGACAAGTGCGTCGTTAAATCTGCTTTTTTTTAATTTTTTTTCCTGTACAGTGTTCGCAGTTTGTTCATTTTTTTTTGTCTCTTCGTTTGAATCGTGTGTGTATGTTTACAAAAGTTGTACCATTAAAGCCAATTAGAACTGTAAAAATAGTTTTAACGCGTTTGAAGCTAACTGGGTTGGTGATGAAAAAAATTGTGTTTCTATTAGTTCTCTGGATTTTTTTTTCATATTTTTTTGCATCAACTACCCAGACTTTGCCATGGTTGCTTTTCAAATTTTTTGTAGTATAATTATTAGCCAAGGCTTTAATGTATTATCTAGATTGAAAATTTTTGTTATTTAATATTTGCAAACATGGTCGTCAACGAGATTTTTTCTATCATAAAATATGCATTCAAATATAAAAGAAAAAAAAGTAGTATTAAAAATTGTTTAATATCAAACAATTGAACGTTAAAATTTGTTGTATAATATTAAAACTTTGAAAAAAAAACTACACTTTGTTAAGGAAATAAAATTTCCTCTCAAATTATTTAAAAATCTCCAAAATTAATTTTGCCCAAATCTGCTACCACCGTGCACCTTTCATATATTTTAAAACTTTACACAACGACTGATCCTGAATCGTTATTCTATTAATTATTTTAATTTTGAATTTTAACTATTTTACTCAACTGAGTACCGATCTTTCATTACCATATACCTTCCTTTTGTCATTTTTTGTTAAAAATTGACAAATGCCTTTTTCTTCAATACTATTTCAAGTAACATTTTATCATCTTTCTTTTCTATCTGTTTTTTATTTTACTCAACACTGTACCGATCTCCAACTATCCTCTTTATTTAAATTACTCAATCTTTGACCTTTGATGATAATTTCCTTTCCATTTATTATTTTCACCAACCCAACCACCGATTTCTAATCACCTGTCTTTCAGTATTTTTTTTTTTCTCGTTCAAACTCACAAAAATTTTAGTCACAAATCATTATTTACAACACTTGGCTATTGATCTACAATCATCTCCCTTTCCTATCATTTTTCGTATATTCTAATTCTATGACAGCCGATCTTCAAGTATTCTTTTGTTTACAATTTTCTTTTGACTTACCGATCAATATTATTTCCTACACTTGTTGGACAACCGATCTCGATCAAATCCGCAATGGTCCTCTTACCTGTAAGTCCGACCCTCGCGACCGTGATAGGTCCTGTTGCAGGGTGTGCAAAGTGCCGGCTCGTCGCTGCCGTCGCCGCAGTCATCGACGCCGTTGCAGTAAGCGTCGACGGGCAAGCAATGACCGGCCTTGCAGCTGATCTCGGCGAGGCCACAACTAGCCGCCAACGACTCCTCGGTGCAACAACCCAACAGCAACAGCAGTAGGACCGGCAACGCGAGTACTTTCGGCTGATGTGGTACCGGTAACGATTTCGACGATGGTGGTTGGGGAGTCGACCTCAGTCTCGGCGAGTGATGCATCTGACGGCGGTGCGGACCGCCTTTTCTTCCGCTTTGCCCTCCACCTCCGGGGGTAAATTCAACTACCGAAGCTTCTTCTTTTTCCCCTTTTTCTTCTTCCTCTTGTTGTTGTTGTTGTTGTTGTTGTTGTTGTTGTTGTTGTTGTTGTCGGGCGCGTTTTTTTCTTCTTTCTCTTCGTGCGGTCCCGCCAGTCCGAGGACCTGGTTCTCTCGAGCCGGCATCAGCTGCGCCGTTCTGGACATTTAACAAGCAAAAAAAAATTCAACATTAAGTCACCTTTTCTTTTGTTCAATATCAGTAACTTTTATTATTATTATCATTATTCGCAAAAGTAGGTAATAAGTTATATTTTCTTTAATAAGTAAAATGATTGGGTGCTGGGTTTCGTGGGAGTTATAGAAACTTTGAGATGGACCATAATGATAGATTTTTAATTCGTGTTTCATAATTTATATAATTTATTAATAATTATTTACTATTTGATACTATTTCGTTAAAAAATAATATAAGTACTAAAAAAAAAACCCTTGATAATGTAAGGTTATTGGGTTACCTTGGGTTAACCTTACTTGGTCTATACATAATTTATTTTGGACAATTAGAAAATGGGTGATTTCTTATTTTAAATTCCTACTTGCTAATAATATACACATAATAAATAATCAGTGGCCTCAACTTAAAAAAAATTAATAAAGTAAAGAAGCTTTTATGATGAAGTACTTATTTTCAAACGTAAAATACCAGTAAAAAAGCACTCCATAACCTCCAAAATGAGGATTGAGTTATGAACTACAAACCAAGCGATCACTTCGCCGGTCGAGTTGACATGTAAATCGAATTCATGATACACTCGACAAACACACCCTGATATACCGATCTTCCCGGAATATGTATATCGGCGCCCAACCCTCAAACCACTCATCAGAAATTCAAAGATCCAATAAGCGCGCGCCTTCGAGCGTTCGATTACCAATCACCCGTCAGAAACCCACTGCAGTGTTGAATTTCTGAGGATACACACACACACACACACACACACACACGCTCGAACGAGATTGGACCCACATTCTCTGGGATTTATTGGATTGATCGGCTGCCCGCGACTGTTATTACACCTCCCGCCGCAGGGATGACCGATGTATATACCGTATCCAAGGGGTGTGGGAGCGAAGGGTAGTGTATAGAGGACTTTACCCTAGATATATGTTACATGAAGAGGGCATAAACAGGCCGTCACACACGATTGTCGTGCATACATGTGTATTTGAATGGTAAAGTATCCACGCGCCTTCGTCGTGTGTTAAATGGGGCGAATGATCGACTTTGAGGTTTACAAAGCAAATGTATACTGCTGTTGCAGTTGTTATTTATAGTTGCAACATGTTTTTAGGAAAAAAATTGTTCTTTTTTTTTTTCTTCCTCCAGTGAGCGTGGAAATTTTACGGGCCGTTTTTAATTAATAAAATACGGTTTATAATTTAAACGATATTAAAAACTGTGCATGAAATTCCGTTCATCAGTTGTATCGGGTGGTGTTACAAAATTCGTATATTAATAAACGTGCACGTACACGTAAATGATTAAATATTGTTTAATTACTTATATATTTTAATAAGGTATTTATACACAGTATATTAATTATTGATTACTCTTTTGCTACCGTTAAATTTAGTTACGCATTTTCTAGTAGCTTGTTAAAATTAAATTATAGTATGGCTCAATCAATAAATGTGCAATTTTTCTTAAAATTTCAGTGAAAAAAAAATGTGAATAAAAAAAGAAGAAAAATGACACAACCATCGATCGTACAGTATTATTTGAAAAAGTTTGATTAATTATGCAGAATATTTTTAACAAATATCTTAACAGAAGTAAGGTTGAAAAGTAATATTTGGATAAAAACTTGCAGGTACATTAAAATTCAATCTCCCCGGAATTTTTTTATGTTTCTGGTTTTCTGACGTGTCTCTGCTGAAAAAAAAATTACAGCGAGTGAAAGTTAATCCTTTCATATTTTAAAAAATGTATAAAAAATTTTTTTTTTTCAATTTATGCTCACATTTTCCAAATCGTCTAAAAAAATGTGTCATACGGGCTTTTTATTCTAAGTATTTAAAACATTGTTTGAAATTCATTAAATAGCAGTACGAATAAAATAAAATCATTTTCGGAAGAAAAAAAAATGTAATTTAATTATTTTTAGAACCACGAATAGAATGCTTTTTGGGGAATTTCTCACTTACCCTTAAAGCACTCAATTAAAAAGTTAAAAACTATATAAATAAATATCTTGATAATCAAACGCTGTACGTAGCGAAGTTTCAAAAGATTGAATACAAAAAAATAGAAATCATAAAGTAAAAGAGGTCATCGGCCCCGCGAAATAAGAGCTGTAAATGACAAAGGCACCGATTCCCGAGTGGAGGTGAAATCGGGTCAATTCCTCGCAATAAACGGCGGGATCGAGCAATTCACGAAATGTAGCCCTCGAATAATCCGCGAAAGCTCATTTGACTCGTAAAAAAAGAAATAATAGAAATCCGACGGGCTCAGTCCACGGACGGGGAAACGAAAAATAAACCGAATCGCCGAAAATAATGTACAAGACCACCCTCTGGTAACGGGTCGAGTGCTGGGGGATAATTATACGCCGCCACAATGAATGAAGGGGGGGGGGGGGGAACGGAGGAAACGGAAATAGGATAAATAGGGAAAATGTAAAGGGAGTTCGTTTACTCGTAGGTCGTCGTCGGAAAAAGTCGAGGTACAAGGGAAATTCGATTCGAGCTGTTGGATTCAATTTTTCCACGGCGCGTTTGTCTTTCTTTTTCTTGAAAAACGGAGAAGCGAAAAGAGTTTTGTTCGATTGCGTTTCAGGTGTTTATTTTACCCTCGGGATCCGGTACACGTGTGTGTGCATAGCGTTTTGTGAAATTTTTTTGTTTAAAAAGGAAAGGTTTTGCGTTCGTACATACCTTTTTATTCTGGTCTTCAAAAATAAATTAAATTCACCGTTTAACGTTCTTTTCTGTCTGTTGGTGTCAGGATGAATATAATTTTACGGTATAAATTATAGGTTATGACTTTTTCTCTTGACAGAAACGTTTCATTTTCAGGTTCAATGACCTAAAGATCAGGTTAGATCTACAAGCGAAAATTAAATTAGTGAACAATTAATGATAATAAGAAATAATCAAGTCCGGATTTTAAACTGAGAAGAGAATTTAATAACTGTCATTATTAGTTATTTTTTTAATTTTATCATACATGGTATATCGGAAGGTACAAAAAACCGATAGTTATTATAAATTATAATTAACTGAAACTTATAGTTTGTAACATGCATTATATATTATTAATTATTTTTAAATTTTCTACAGATTATTACTCATTATTCATAAAGATGTTTTATTGCCTTGACTTAATATTAAAGGAATAACACTGAGTTTTTCGAATCAATTTCCACAACAAAATTTAAAAAATAAATCAATAACCATTGATATTTATAGAAAAGATATTGTTGATATAGTCTCAAATCTGAACTTTATTGTTATTATTAGTTTTTCCTTTTTTTTTTTTTTAAACAATTATATGAAAGAGATCATTTTCGCCCGTCTTACCTTGACTCGTCTGTTTCTACTTCATCTTTTCAAATTAGATCGACATTAGGGTTATACTATTTTGGTAATACGCTTTCATGTATGAATAAAAAGTGAAAAAAAGTTTATTGTAGTACGAATGACTGATAGGACTGGGGGAGTAATTTAGTTACTGTACCCACAAAAGTGTAAAAAATACATTTTATTATTGTAAATTCAAGCAGCGCAAGCACTAGTTTTTTTTTGTGCCCACGTGTATACAGAGTATACACTTGAAAAGGGTCTGACCCGTACATTCTGAAGAACAAAACATTTTTACATCGTCGAAAAATTTTCAACCGCGAGAGAATTCACTTGCACAGCGTATTTTTTCCGCTCCGTTAGTTCTTTTGGTTTAAAATCTCAACGAAAAAAACATCCAGTATTCCCCGACCCAACGTTACTCGGCACATCTAATTAAACATCAGATGACCCAATACCACTTTTACGCCTTTAACAAAATACTCGCCCCCTGAAAATACAGATCAAGCAAGCAAGCAAAAAAAAAAGCTAGCGCTCAGCTCGCAAAAATCGATAGCTCCCCTTTCCACGTCTCCGTCGTTCTCTCGTCTCCGCCTAGACTCATCTTCTTCTGCTAAACCATCACTTTTTACCTCTTCTGTTCCACTAGACTGGCATATATGCAAAATACACTCCTACCCGAAGGTACAGCTTTAATTTTTTCTCCCTCTTTTTTTCCTCTTCCGTCAGAATTTTCCCATCCATCCTCCTCGTTCCGGTAACAACGTTTGCTTCCCGTTATACGGGGTGCAATTAGTTCGAAAACAAGGGCACGAAAGGGGGGGGGGGGGGTTCGAACGGTGCACGGGCTTACCCCCTACCGCGAACTTCGGTACAAGCGAGAGTTGTTGTTTGCAGGCCATGGCAAAGGCTTTGAAAATTTTCGGAGGGTTATTTTTCGCAACCACGTTGTTTTAATATAATTACAAATGTTTTTTCTCGGTGGTTACGCGTTGAAGTATATTTTGCGGATTTAATTACACCACGGGACTGTGAGTTTGCGAAAGTTTAATTTCAATTTGGAGACTGTGGCGATGACGAGCAGAAGAGGTTATGAAATCAATATGATGATTCATTACGCTCGAATGATTTAATTGGTCCTACTTCTTTTGCATCCTGGCGAAGTTAAGCATACTTAATAATATGTTGTACCATCCAGTTTCTGAGTGAGTTTTTGTCATCTGCAAAATTTTTTAGTTCCTTTACATACGGTTGAAAAATTTTTTAGTCCCAATCTCTGTACAAGTATACTACATAACCTTTCAACGGGTACTCGGTTGATAAAACATGAATTTACAAATTCAATACGTGAGTGAAAAGTTTTATGATTTTAGAGACGCTATAATATTCGAATATTGATTGATAAAAAACTAGTAGATGTTAACTGTTCAAGATGTTATACTAAACCATGTACTGAGGGCGATAGGTGGTGCTGCGGAGTACAAAAAGGATATTCTGTATATTTACTTTTTATGAATTGGCAAAAAATACGAACGTCTTTATGATCAAGTACGTAATATATTAAATTATAAGCATTAATGTAGATAAATAGTAATATTAAT